ACACGTCAGGGTAAGGGCTGTATTACTTGAAGGACCCCAAGTGGTGTATGAGAGTCGTAGTTGTTTAGTCGACGAGCACATATCTGTGAGGGGGGGGGAGAAATAGTTGCTAAATGGAACAGAAACTTCTCTTCCTTTCGTTCGCTTCTAATATTTCACGGTCTCAAGTCAAGAACCATTAGCATACGCCATCGATTCAACTGAGGGTGAGATCCATTCCCTAGTGACATACTTATCCTCCTATGACTCGAAACACCGTCCAAAGTCTGCTGCTTCATTCTCGCATGAACTGGTGTCATGTACGCGAAACTTTTTAGTGGCATGCGACACGACATACAACGGATAAGGAAGAGAGCACCACAAGCCTTCATTGCGACTCAGTAGCCCGCTTCCGCCTAACGTCACGCTCCTCGGCAATCGTAAGTTTGATACCCTTGCCCTTCGGTACCGAGATCCAAGGCTTTGTACCCTCTCCAATGACAAAAATGTTGGTTATCCTGATTACGGAATGAGTGTTCAGCTAGCTATTTCGTGCCGACAAAGAATTCCACTCACCGTGTTGCAAACGTACGATCCAACGCATCTTTCACATGTACAATGTCAAAGTCACCAATGTGCTTCTCACGGTGCACGATACTACCCATGCGACCCATATTACGGCCGCCGGTGATCATAACCAGGTTTCCCGTATCAAATTTGACGATGCCACTGATCTTATTTTGGGTGAGGTCGAACCTGACGGTGTCGTTCACCTTGATAAGAGGGTCGGGATAGCGGATTGTACGCCCATCATGCGTGACAATGTAGGGGACGCCTCTGTTGCCGAGAGCTACTCTCTTCACCTTGAGGAGCTTGTACCCAGCCTCCTCAGCAGTGATCCGGTGGATAACAAAGCGACCCTTGGCATCGTAAAGCAGGCGGAAGTATTCGTCCGACTTCTCGATGGAGAGCACATCTACCAAGGAATAAGCTCTTGAAGTGTGACGTCCAGATTGAGAATCGTACCCATGAAACCGGTAGGGTACGTGTTGTCAGTGCGGACTTTGGCGTCAACCTGGATCAGGCGCTGTTGCACAATCGAGGTGACTTCACGGCCAGTCAAGGCATACTTAAGCCTGTTACGGAGGACGATCGAAAGAGGGAGCGATTCCCGGAGTCTGTGGGGACCGGGAGAAGGACGGGGAGCCTGGAAACACGTAGTACCAGGGAAAAAACACGAGGTGGAGGGAAGCGCACGTATGTACCACTCAATTTATCCAGCATCCATGACGAGGGTGCGGCGAGACGCTTGAGATGCTTTTTTGGTCCACGTGCCTGAAAAACAGGAAGATGAGTACCACGAGCGTAGAGGACAGACCAGTCATGGGCAGCGAGAAGAGATTGTCAATCCAAACGCAACAGAGAGTATCCATCCTTCTCATCATCCATCCACCGGTTGAATGTTCTCCATCTCTCTCCAAAGAAGCACCATGACACAACTGAGGTGCAAACTGACCATGATTAATGCCTTGAGGTGTGAGACGTTGTCGACGACGGCGACGTTTTGACGTTTACTTGCGACGGCGGCGTTGTGCAGTGCCCACACACCAAGGTTTGCCTCTACCGTGGGTAAAATTCCGGTTTAGGGCAGCACAACTATTCTCACGTGACTGACCAGATATGGACTAAGATACTGCCAGTGGTACCGTACAGACAGGCATACAACGTTGCTGTACTAATGTGACACTGCAAGAGTCTAGATTACAATCATTTGCTGCCCCTCGTAGCCCGAAGGACCATGTTCTCTAATGTGATCGCCCGGTATTCTCCGTCCTCGTCAGGAGCCCATACGGCATCGTCGATAACGTATACAAGAATTCCACCCTTTCCATCCGCAGTTGGCGAAACCCGGAACAGCGGCATACGCGAGCGTTCGTGGACGCGACCAGCAGGCAAGAACATGAGGTTGTGAGTCGCCGCAAAGTCTTCTACGATCGAACGGAAGGTAATCTCCTGCATGCGAGCCGGCAAGTGTTTTCCTGTCGCCCCCTTCGGCGCGGCAGTAGGCGGAGGCGTTGCGGAGGTGCTGCGGTGGTGTTCTGGACGTGGAAGCTTGGTGGGGGCGTCGGGCCCGAGCTCGATGGCCATGTTCATGAGTTGCAGTCCACGTGTGAAGCCGTCGCGTACAGCGGGGAGCGCTAGGATGTCCTCAGAGAATACGCTCTTCCAGAATGCGTACCACTGAGCGACCTCGTCAAAGTTTGGGCGCGGCTGCACAAGCCAGACGTGTAACACGTCCAACCACTTGGGGAAGAACTCGGCCGCAAGAAGCGACGCGAAAATGGAGCCGCGTAAGAGAGGCGCCCATGCGAGTACCTGCTCGAGAGGAGCCATGTTTTGGGAACGGGGGTTCACGCGGAACTCTTCGCGCAGCGTAGAACCGAGCTTGGGAACAATGTATTTGAGCATCATTGTATCCCAGTCGCCTACGCTGAAGACCTCACGCCAGGCCGCAAGGTCATCGGGGACACCTTTCGTGATGTCCCATCCCCGGAGGACAGACTTGAGTTTGCGCCGCGCATCACCCGAAAACTCTTCCATACGTAGGCCAACGTGCGGGAGCCAAGGGAACACCAGCGTCTTTAGCGGGACATCTGAATGGCGCAGGTTCCAATCGGCTACTGCTTTTGTGACCTTTGGGAGGATAAGTTGGTCGAGGAAGTTATCGCGGATGAAGGGCGGGAGAAAAGTGGACCAGGTTTCGTATAGCCTTACAGCCGGTTGGGGTGTGGAAGGGTTCCAGTCGTTATTGATGGATGACCGGACTTTTGGCAACCAAACGTTCCACAGAAGGCTTTCGAACGGAGTCATGGGCGCTTCTACCTGTGGCGGGGCAACCTGGAGTGCGCTACCTCCAAACAAACTTACTTGTGTGTCTGGGGGACGCTCCTTGTGGTCTGCGAGTTTCAGGGCTCGTCTCCAAAGTCGGAATGTCGAAAGTAACTTGTCAGGGTCCTCCAATGTGTTCCATTGCGAGAGCATCCGTCGAACCTGACAAAGCCATGAGTACTTGATATGGAATTCCAACGGTAGCCACACGTACTATTGGTGCAATAGCAGCCACGACGATCTCATCCAGTTTATACCTATCAAACTCTGAGGGAAATTGGGTCAAAAGCTTGTGGAAATGCGGTGAGAACGGTTCAAGCGAAGCTTCATAATCCGACGCCTGTTGCCTGGACAGCGCCTGTATATCGTCGACCACAAGATGAACTTGCTGCATCCGAGAGATGACTTAATGTGCAAGTTAGCGCGCAAGTAGGCTTATCTTAGGGAAAAGAACGCACGTTCCGTCTCCTCATTAATCTTTTTTGTCAGCCTGGCTTCCTCGATTTGGATCGTCTGTCTTCTCTTCCGAATTTCCTTAGCTTCACGGGCGAGGCCCTCGAGGTCCCTTGCAGTAGCTTCGGCAATGAGTCTGATGTTGTGTCGAACTTCCGGTATACGGGTAGAGTCGGTGGAGGGCGTCCATGAAGCTATAGACACCTCCGCTAAAGATGAGACTTCACGGGGCTATAGGACGAAGACATCAGTGATCTGCCAACGACTGGCTAGAGGAAAACTAACCGCTGCACCAGTAGCATCAATAATAACTCCAAGGCCAGAGGGACCGGCGACGTCCTCTCCGACCTCAGAAACGATTTGTTCGTAGGTCTTGTGCTCGATTTTGGTTTTCACCTTCTTCGGTTTCTTCCACGCGTCTGATCTGTTAGCTGCTTTCTCTTTGCCCTTTGAAGGCTTTTTCTTGCGTTCTTCGTCCTCATCGTCACTGACGACCTCGCCACGGCGACGTGCCTCCGCCTTCGATTGCGCAGTGCGCTCGCCAAAACCTTTGAAGGCAATGCCCATATTTTTCGGGCGCACTTTTGTCTCGATTGGGGCGACAATACCCCGGCCCTCCGTACCAAGACCGGTGCCCGATTCCCAGCCCATCTTCGCAAGCATGCGCGCGCCGAATGTACTCTCGATCTTTCGGAAGTGTGCACTCTCGGAGGCTGAAAGGTTCGGTTTGGGAGGCGGAGGTACAGAGGGTGTACCATTCCTGACGAATGCACGCTGCGGGCGAGAGCGACCGCCAAACGCGGAAGGAAGGCCGCTGGGAGTGGCGGTATCCTCAGACGCTGGCGGGGCGGGGGATGGCGAATGCGCAGGGGAGGGCGTTGGGGGAATGGAGACTGCGGCGGGGCGGGACGCGCCTATTCCGCTTCTCGTGAAGCCAGAGAATGTAGTTGGGGGGCGGGAGCTAGATGCGCCTAGGCCGAGTCCACCAAAACGAGGCCGCTCTTCCTCCTCCTCTTCCTCCTCCCGGACTCGCGGTGAGGGTGCCCTAGACGGTTCATTGTCGTCATTGTCGTCATTGTCGTCGTCGTCGTTAGTACCGTCTGCGTCATCCACTTCAGCGTCATCTTGGGCATCCCCATCTTCAGCACTGTCGCCCGAGGACTCGGAGCCCGAGTCGTGGCCAACCACAACCTCCGGTATATCCATGACTTCGGACTGATCGAGCTCGGGTTTACTACCAGTCGTCTTGCTTGATACAAAGGCCGGTGCTTTAGCCCAGTCATGCCGAGGGGCTTGTCTGCGACTGCCCCCGAAGCCCTCATCCTCGCTGTCATCGTCGCCAGTTGTGCGCCGCTTCTTCCGCTGGTAAGAGTCGTTATCATCAGCGTTTTCATCGTCCGAACCGCCTGAGGAGTCCGAGATACCATCTTCCATGAAACCGCGCTTTCTGCGAGCCATGGTGGGTGGAAGTTAAGAGTAGGGGAGCAAACAACCTCCGCTAAAGGCAAGACTCGCGAAATGAGTCAACTTTTGGTCACAAGTCTGAAGAAGAAAAGGATATAGAAAAACAAGGGCAACACGAAGAAGACGCCTTTGTGAAGGAAAAAAACACACACGTTTATGCACGTAAAAGGATACCAATGACGAACATAAAGGTGGTAAGATGGAGAACAAAAGAAGGGCCTGGCCGGGAATTGAACCCGGGACCTCCTCCAAATGACAAGAGAGCCCTAAGAAGGAATCATACTACTAGACCACCAGGCCGATATTTCCTCATGCATAGAAATGCACCATAAGGCGAGCCAGCTATCACAATTAGGAAGCTGACGCGTCCAGAGAACGCGTGTGCGTATGTTCTGCAATTGTGAAGACGTACAGGTTCGTTTCAGACTCTATGGACACAGCACCTTCGGGACCACCAAGGATAATGGAGCCACAAAGAGCAGAGGCCCTCAAGGCCTATCGTGATGTCAGTGGCCTACCTGCATCACACTGAGCGTCCCCTCACGCGTCAATTACAGAAAATGCAGGCACATGAGAACATGAGTGAAGACTTGAAGAATCGTGCGTCCTACACACACAATTTTCACTACGCTGTCTTGCCCACATGATTCCCAGTACGATTTTCTATCAAGGATTTACAAAAAGATTACAAGAAGACCGAGGAGGATATCAAGGCCGTGCAGTCAGTCGGTCAAATTATTGGAGAGGTCATGAAGCAGCTGGATGACGAACGCTGTAAGCGGAAACCGTCTTCGCATCGCCCCACTTTCCCTAATCTCTACCGTTAGTTATCGTGAAAGCTTCGTCGGGGCCACGCTACGTCGTCTCCTACCGACCCGCGCTTCCCGCACACAAACTCAAGGCTGGGACGCGCGTTAGCCTCGACATGACAACCCTCACCATCATGCGCATCCTCCCACGAGAGGTGGACCCCATGGTATATAAGATGAGCCTCGAAGACCCAGGCGGTGCTTCTTTCGCCGGCATCGGCGGTCTCGGCGAGCAAGTGCGCGAGCTGCGCGAGGTGTGTGTTGACGCGCTCGGACACGCCCTCTCCCTCCCTCCCTCACTCACCCAAACGCCGCAATTCCCCAGATCATCGAGCTTCCCCTGCTCAACCCGGAGCTCTTCCAGCGCGTCGGCATCAAGCCCCCGAAGGGCGTGCTCCTCTATGGCCCGCCCGGGACGGGCAAGACGCTCCTCGCGCGCGCCGTCGCCGCGACGCTCGATACCAACTTCCTCAAAGTCGTCTCGTCCGCCATCGTCGACAAGTACATCGGCGAGTCGGCGCGCGTCGTGCGCGAGATGTTCGGATATGCCCGCGACCACGAGCCCTGCGTCATCTTCATGGACGAGATCGACGCCATCGGCGGACGCCGGTTCTCGGAGGGCACCAGCGCAGATCGCGAGATCCAGCGCACGTTGATGGAGGTCCGTCCCCCCACCAGCCCCGAGTTGCGCGAAAAACTGAACTTTTGCGCATTATGCAGTTGCTGAACCAGATGGACGGCTTCGACTCTCTCGGGCGCACAAAGCTCATCATGGCCACCAACCGACCGGACACGCTCGACCCCGCGCTGATGCGTCCCGGCCGCCTCGACCGCAAGATCGAGGTGCCACTCCCGAACGAGCAGGCGCGGCTCGAAATTCTCAAAATCCACGCGGGGCCCGTGAACAAGCACGGCGAGATTGACTACGAGGCGATCGTCAAGGTGCGTCGGCGTTCCCCCTTTTCCAACTCCACCCCCCTCCCTTCCCCGCCTAGCTAGCGCCACGTCCCCACAACTGACGGTTTTACTTAAGCTCTCGGACGGGTTCAACGGGGCGGACTTGCGCAACGTCGTGACGGAGGCAGGCATGTTCGCGATTCGAGACGATCGGTATGTTGCACTTCTCCTTGACTTTGTAGAGTTTTCCACTCTCATCTCTTTCTCTTTCCCTTCGCACAGGGAATATATCCAGCAGGAGGATCTTACCAAAGCAGCGAGGAAGGTCGGCGAAGCAAAGAAGCACGAGAGTAAGATCCATTTCCCCTCAACCGCGCGACCTGGATCTGATCGTCACCACCACAGCCAAACTCGATGTAACGGTATAGACGGACTGTTCCTCTCACTCACGTTCTTTATATTTCCATGCACTTGTAATAATCGACGACATGAATGCCACTGCGCTGAACTCGTCAGAGCGAGAGCAGCAACACCCCCCATCACTTGCGAGTCGAATCACGATCCACAGTCCTTCATTAATAAACCAGTGCCAACCAGAACAAGAACAATGAGAGAAAAAAGTGAGTGGGTAGGTATGTATATCATCCAACCAATGACTCAGAAGCCCAAAAACCGCCTCTTCTTCTCCTTATCCTTCTTTTCCTTCCCGTACGACGAGTTGACCGACAGCGTGCTGCCCGTAAACGACGGATCCGGTCCTGGTCGAATCGCGCTGCGTGCGCTCGCGCTCTTGCCTAGTACCGGTGCCCGATGTGCGTGCTGTTGTTGCTGCTGCTGTGGCGGCGGTGCGTCGCGTGTAAAGTACCGCTCGTCATAGAACGCCTGATACGGCCGCGCGCCGCGCAGCACCCGAAGTCCATCCGGGATAGCACGCGAGCCGGAACCGCCGAGTTCAAGCGCTTTGAGGTCGTCGATGAATTGGCGCGGCGTCAGTGTATGCGTCGAACCTATCCATTCACAGACACCCACATCATCAGCATATAATTCTAAAATCGTCAGGACAAGTAATGGCTGCCGCACCGATGAAGATATCTTTCCCAAGCTGATTCGACATGAGGTATGCCTCGCGCATCTCAGAGTGGGTCATCCCGCCTGCGACGAACACGAGCAATCGCTGGCGATTTTCTGCCGCGACGCCGCCGGTGCGCGCAGCGCGATGCCAGTTCGGCCTTGCACTCCGCAGCGAGGTCGTCGGTGTCGGCGTTGGCCGCGCGCTTGATACAGTAGAGGTGGCCTGGGGATAATCCTTGACATAGGGGAAGCCGACAGTGTCGAGCCTCCCGGAGACTTGGTCCTGCCATCGTCATGAGCACATGTTGAGCACCCTCAAGAGGGGGGAGACGAATGACGGCGTACTTCAATGACTGAGCGGAGAAGAGGCTTGTATCGAGAGAGCTCGTACTCTTCTTCGCTCGACTGCTTCTGTTTGATCCGTCGTTTGAGGTCTTTGTCCGCCGGTCCCTATACTCACGTGGTAGCCTGTCAGCGCCGACAGAGGAGAAAGTCCCCAATTTAGTCAAGAAGTACGCACTCTGTTGATTCGCACGCCTAAGTGCACGAGCGCGTTTATCGCATCTATCTCGGGCCGTGTCAATCGCGCGTGCTGGTATAGCCGCCGGCGGTCCTCATCGGGGACACCTTCCCGGTACTGGATGTACAATGCGATGATGCGGACCTTGTTGGAGTTACTGTCGCATGTATGATCAGGGCGGCTGAGGGCATGTTTTTCTTACTTCTGACGTACAGGACTTCTCGACTATCCAAGAGGGGCACCATCTCTTCGACCAGAGTCTTCGGCGTTTTACCTTGCGCGGTCACCCCCGTTGAACAGTTCTAGATGGGTGTTATGAAGAACGAGCTCCTAGTCTAAGAGACATACCTGTTCGACAGTAGCCACCACAGGCAGTTTGTCGCGTTCAAAAATGTCCATGCACTCTTGTGCCATACTCAAATGCAGTGAAAACTGAGAGTATTCAGCCTGCGATCAGAGCAATGAACGGTCAATGCGCAATAGGTCTGCGCACCTTCTCCCTCTGCTCCTGATATTGTGGTAGGCTGGCCAGCATATCTTTCATGTCATTGAGTGTAGCAGCACCCTCCCTGTATAAACGACCCGTCAATAACCAGCACCCATTTCAGCGCATACAGAACGGTTCAACGCACCCCTTGAACCCGGCGTTATCCGTCATAAATTTGTTGAAGTCAGCCATGAGTTTGTCGATCGCCTCCCGCATGTGCATGTGTCGCACGTCGGTCCAAACCGTGTCCAAGTCTGACAAGACCGCCGTCTTATCTTCGTACGCGCCTACTGAGGACTGGAATTTGTACCTGCAAAACTGCCAGGTTAGGCTACAAAAAGCAGCGAGAGTACACCGATGCACGCACGTGTATTTAGACCCTTCTTCGATAGGAAGGAGGTCGTTCGCCATCGCCTGGTACGTGAACTCGTGAATGAGCGGCGCGACGACGTCCATCGCGCGGTCTGTCACAATCAGCGTCGCACGCTGCCGCCCGAATCCGCTTCTAGTTTCCCTCGCATGCGAGGGTGGCCCCGTCAGCCTCCGCAATTTTATTTTTTTCTTTGGTCGCGGGGAGAGTAAAAAAAAAGGGTGCACGCACCGGAAAGTCAGGATTCGTGCGCTTGTATTCATCCAGTGCCGTTTGGATCTCGAGCGCCAGTACGCGCGACAACACCTCCGCCTCCCCGCGTCGTGCTGGCGCGCTTGCTCGCCGCGCGCTAGATTCGTGCGCCAGCGCAGCGAATTCTCTGGTTGGGCGCGCGCCGCTGCGGGGCGGGTGCTCTCGTGAGGTCGGAGCGCACCGAGGGGCCCGTGGTTTGCGGGCACGTAGTATCGGATGTACGGAAATTCATTCAGCGTGATGCACACATTTGCGATCTGCGTAGCCCCGCGCCGCGTGAGCGAGGACGAATGGAGGAGTGGGAGAAGAGAAAAGGAAGAATCTTGGATGTGGGGACGCACGGATTTGGCCACGTAGCGGATGTCCTCCTCTAGCCTGTCGCGCTCGGCACGTGCGGTGGCATCGGAATGGAATGGGCAGTACATGCTGAAGAAGTGCTCAGGCATACGTAACGAGAAGGCCTGCGCCTCGATCGCTGCAAGGGTCGATGTGTATCTGCTTAGGGCTGTGTTGCAAATGAGGCACGAGGCCAAGCCGATCAGACGCACCCCAGAAGTTGACGTAGAGGTCCTGCAGACCACGCAGGAACGGTTCTGCGGGCGAGGACGTAAGTCGTTGGAAGAGCTCGTCTGCCAAGCCTTTTTTTTTCCGAAGGGATATCAGGGCGTGGAAACCGGCATGGGGGTATGGAAACGGACCATCGACGAAAAAGAGGTGGGCACCGGCATACTGTTGCCGTCCTCCGGAGAAATCGCGGATGATGCGGTCGACGTTGGCGGAGGTAGGCATGAGCATGTAGACCGCGTCGAAGCCTGGTTGTGGCTCGCGGTTGTTCGTTATAGATTCGATGACTTTATGCTCTCGTTCAGGAAAAGATGGCAGATATCGCGACGG